TTGATTTGTTTGAAGAGGAAGGAGGTGACATGTTGGAACCAGTTTACAATGTTTATTGTGATGAAATTGAAGAAGTGGACTTTCTTTCAATTCATGAAGAATCTTTAATGATTCAAGGAATGATGGCAATAACTAAGGAAGAAGGACAAGATGGGAGGAGTCATTCTTTAAGGGAAGACGATCAAGAAAAAAAATCTCTAGCTAAGGGCAAGATAATTGGTTACGCATCTGCTGAGAAATTTGAAGTTAAAAGACAAGAGGCAAGAGTCATATATGTTGTTCTAAATAAGCTATTGAGAGAAGAACAAAAAGGAGAAAATTTTATGCAACCTAATAAAAATTTGCAGCTATTAGAAGAGATTGAAGGGTCATAAAATAAGGAACTACCAAAAGGGATGCTTCCAATGTGGAATTTTCAACACGCTTTTGATTTTATTACTAATTTGCCTACCTACAAGTTTGACTTACACAAAAAAATGGCAGACTTTTTTCTTTGTCCTAATTTCAGATGCCACACAAGTTGTTGATTTATTTTTGGAAGAAGTGGTGAGACTACAACATATTCCAACATCCATTGTTTGTTATAGGGGTGTAAAGTTGAAGGGACATTTTTGGAGGACTTCACAGGAGAAAACTGCTCCAAATAAATATACATTTGACAGCACCTGGATTGTAAAGGGAAAATTCAAAAAAATTTGTCTAGATAAACATGTTGAAGCTGACAAGTCTTTTAATTTAAACCAAGCTAAATTTCCAACTCGGGGAGAATGATGAGGGAACATGAATTTTTTTTTTTAAATTAATTGTTTTAGTTTGAGTTTTATTTGGAGTCTAAGTTTTAATTTTAGAGAAGTCATGTTGATAGCTTGTGATTTTTTATTAGGACTAGAATTAGTAGGTTATTAGAAGTTCAACTTAGTATTGAATTAAGAATCTTGGCTACTATTGGTATATTATAGTTATCTTTAGATTTCTAAATCGATTTTTATTATGAGATTTTAGTTTGAAAACAAACTTAGGTTTGAAAACCTAAGTTTTATTAGTTCCATCTTTAATTTTACGAAATTTTTAGTTTATATTCGTTCTACCCCTACCTTCCTTGCATTATATATAGATGAAGTGAATTAAGAAATTAGATAGTTGTCTTCTATTATGTAATATAAAATCAAAAAATTAACAAAAAAAAATATCTTAATAGACAAAAACTTGATACTATAAATTAAAATTTTCTAATTCAAACTTTGAGGTAGCAAAGAGAGATTTGGCCATTGAGAAAGGTGCGACATCACCTAACCGTAAAGGTATGAATTAAAAAGTCAAAACCATCATTTGAAAAAATAACAAGTTCCATGCCTGCAATGGTTGGAGAGTGTTAAAACTTCCTTTCAGCCGTTATGTCGTCCCACTAACAACATTGTTTAAGATCAAAAGTCAAAATGGTGCTGGCTCACCTAACCACAATGATATTCTAACGGAGTGGCATCAGCACTTTCTCATTCAGCACTCCAAATTCCTGCAACTCCTATGAACATGATTAGGTAACTGTTGGGGGACATACGGCCTAACGAGATGATATTGAGTGATCCATTACATATTTCGACATTACATTGGAACCCAAAGACTAGCATGATAATTAAGCCACTCTTTTTGTATTTTTCGATGTGGGATCTTAGTTTGTCACACTTGCGTGAGAGTTTATCCATACATACAAGATGATATTGAGTGACCCATTACATATTTTGACATTACATTGAAACCCAAAGACTAACATGATAATTAAGCCACTCTTTCTGTATTTTTCGATGTGGGATCTAAGTTCGTAATTCGTCACACTTACGTGAGAGTTTATCCACACATACTCATAATGAGTTTATATAATATATACTCTCACTTTGAGAAGCCCGGTCAAGATTGAAATTACCATTAACTTAATGTGTTATGCCATGCTTTGATACCATTTGTTGGGGAGACTTAGCGAGAATGCGAGACGACATTGAGTGACCAATTAAATGTTTTGACATCATATTAAAATAAAAAAACTAACTTAATAATTTCATGGGTCTGCACATATATGAGTTACTCTTTCTTTTTTATATTTCTTTGA